AAGTTTCAAATGAATGAACTCTTAAAAGCTTCTGCAGAGGCCCTGGGTCAGGGAATTATGGGGAACAGTTATAAGGCCATGCTGAATGGAGGAGGTTCCGTTGTTGTGAAGAGGCTAAGGGACCTGAGGCCAATGACAAGAGAGGACTTTGCAAAGCAATTGCATAGAGTTGCTGATTTGAGGCATCTGAATTTGTTGCCTTTGCTTGCTTACTACATTTCCAGAGATGAGAGGTTGCTGCTCTACAGATATGCAGAGAAGGGAAATCTTTTCTTCAGGCTTCACGGTAATTTCACTCTTGCCTTGCTTTGCTTTATAAACCATTAAATTTATAGCAACAAATAGCAACATCCCCCCTTCCATGAGATAATATTTCCCAGGAAGTTTGAGTATAATGAGTGTCAGTTATCTAAAACTCTGAAAGAATCCAATCCCAGATTCTGTAATATGGAAGTACGTATGCTTAGCTACACAAACCAATTGCTTCTTCCGCCAATCATTTTGCTCTGACATGCATTTTATTCTACTTAAAAATGGGTTAAAAAAATTAGGAACATTCTGATGTTTACATTACGGTCATTCTAGTTGTTGCATGACTAAATACCAAACTCTCTAATACTTCAAGATGATTCAGTGAGTCACCAACCAGGATGCATTCAAATCTGAGGAGTAAAAAAATAACAATAATTCTAACAATCTAAATTAAGTGAACCATAAGTATTTACCTAAATAAGTAATTTTTTTTTCCCGTCTTGTTAGCAGTCAATCTGTCAAGGTGTGAATAAAAAGATAAAGGTTCAAACCTTTCTTATCTTTGTTTTTTCCCCCCGAAAAAGGGAAAATCAATTGGACCTGGATTGGACATTCATTGCAGGAAACAGAAATGGAAACCGGATTCCATTCACATGGAACTCAAGATTGTCAGTGGCAAAAGGGGTAGCCCGAGGATTAACTTACCTTCATCTCAATGCCAAGCCCAATAGCACCATGGCTCCCCATGGAAACTTGAAGTCCTCAAATGTCCTGCTAGATGAAAACGACACAGTTCTCATCTCTGACTACGGACTTTCCTCCCTCATAGCACAACCCATTGCAGCTCAACGAATGGTCGTTTACAAATCACCCGAATATGGGTACTCAAGAAAAGTATCAAAGCAATCTGATGTCTGGAGCTATGGAAGCCTTCTCATAGAACTTCTAACAGGCAGATTATCTGTGTGTTCAGCCCCACCTGGGGTTACCGGGTCGGATCTCTCTAGTTGGGTCCACCGAGCAGTGAGGGAAGAATGGACGGCGGAGATATTCGATAGGGAAATTTCTGTGCAGAGAAATGCACTTCCTGGGATGCTGAGATTGCTTCAGATCGCGATGCGTTGCACCGATAGGTTCCCTGAGAATCGGCCAGACATGAGGGAGGTGATGAGAGAAGTGGAGAAGATTGAGGTGGTTCCATTGATGTCGGAAGATGAAGAAGATGCATCTGGAGATAGATCTATAACAGATGATTCGCTCTACTCAACCAGTACCACCTCAGGGATTATTGGAGATGACAGGTAGAGAGATGCTCAAGCCTGGGACCCTAATCACACATTGTTTTTCCTTTCAAACGTGAAGACGAGGTTGAAAATACAGAAAATGTTATCATGATTCAGAGTAAAATAAATATGTTGATGCATCTAAGGCTCATAGATATTTCCCGCTGTACAATTCGGAGTAGGAAAAGTTAGGCGTAGCTTCCTCTTTACATTTTCTTTTCTCCGCAATAACAATTTGCCGCTGCTTAGCCTGCTTCGAGATCTATTCGAGGACAAAATTATTTGCAAGATTTAGCATACCGGAAGGAAGTTGCATACTTTGCAAGAATCTCAATAGTTGCGACTTTCAAGATGGAAAATCTACAAGAAAATTTTTCAGTGATTCTGTAATATCAGAAGCATTAATACAGCATCTTATTCTTACCGGTTGGTAACTGATGGCTTCGTTTATTATCACAGAAATCATGATCTCGCATATGTTATGGGAACCAAAATGTTGAATTTGCAGTTACAAACCGAATATATTGCGTCTGACACTGGGCTTCTTACTGAAGAACTGGTAATTAAAAAGTGATGGAGTTTGAAATAACGTGACAGAAATTTTATTTAGATTTGCTTGAAAATACTTTATTTTTTAATGGGTTTTCAAATACCCATTAAAAAGGAGGGAACCTGGTTGCATTCTAATGGAACTCAAATTTGACAGCTGCAAGAGGCGTATAACTCCGGACTGATTGCTTATTTATTTTTTATCCTTTCATCTTCACATGCATTTTTGTTAAAATTATCTAAAACAAATACGAGTATAAGATATTTAGATGTCTCCTAAATGCTAACGTCACAATCCAAAAATCTTTAGCGTTATCGGCGTTGGGGTATAGACTAGGTATTTTTTTAGGGAAAATTCCAAAAAAAATCCTTGGAATATAGAAAACTTCAGATTGGGTCCTGAAATTTTGAAAATGACAGAAATGGTCAGTGATCCAATTTGTCATTTGTAAAATCAAGAAGAATTGACAACTTTGTCTTCATTTGTATTCATTCACTATAATGATTTAAGGAATCACTACAAGGGTTTAGGCGTTACCTAGATTCATGTAGCGAATAACTATTCACTTTTTAATAGTCAGGTGTCTTGTTATTAACTACAACTAATTTTGTAATCACTAAAACAATGTAAGCATTACCTAGATTCATGTAAAGAATAACTACTCACTTTTTCATAGTCAGGTATCTTATTATTAACTACAACTAATCTTGTAATAACTAGAACAGTATAAGCGTTACCTAGATTTGTTTAGAGAATAACTACTCACTTTTGCTTAGCCAGAAGCAAAATTGTTAATTCGTCTTAATTTCACACATGACAGATTGGGTCAATGACCCTTTTTATCATTTTTGAAATTCCACGACCCAATCTGAAATTTCTTATATTTCAAGGGCTTTTTCTGAAATTTTTCCTTTTTTTTATATATATGATTCAACAACCAAGCACCTTATTCGAATCAAGCGAGTTGGACTTGTAAAGCCCTCTCAACCAAACAATTATTATGGTACTTGATGTTAGTATGTGTTGGGATCAAGGTGAGAAGGACAGATATTGGATAAAAGTGATTTATAAAATAGATTTTCTTGAATTATGATTTATGATAATTGATTATCAAAGGCTCTTTTAAATCGTTTATGGTTAAATCAAGATTTTAGCTCAACATTTCAGCATTGAGAGATGGTATTTTGATATTTTTAATAAGATCAAGGTTCTGTCCATTGATTGATTATAAGCTTGTTTAGAAAGATTTATAAACAGTTTTTAATTGTGATTTATAAAATATGTGATAAATATATGATTAAAATTTTATCTCAATTTATATGAGATGCGTTTATAAACACTTAAATAAGTAGATCCAAATAAGCTATATAAATTTAATCCAACGAAGACTCATGACTTCTTTGTTTTTTTTTTGTTGGCTAAATCGTATGTATTTATCGTTAAAAGTAATCCTATTTGAGATATTATCATATATTAAATATAAACATTTTTTTTTTAATAAGAATTCAAATCTTAGTTTGCTATATTATAAGGAACAGTTGTTTTTACTAGGCCCAATTTTAATAGAGTCATAATTATACCCACTCGCAACTCGATAAGATTGAGTTCGTGTGGGCCAGCCCAATAAAACTACGAAACAGACGAGCTTAAAACCCATATAACATACGCTGCTCGTGTTTGATTGCTCTTAGCCATAGCTCATGCATCCATTGTGCATTTGTGTTAGTTTGGAGCCAACTTTTGAATTCTAACTAGAAATTTTCCCCCGTGCGATGCACGCATTAAAATATTTTATTAGATTTTAAATCTTAATAAATTATATTATCTTAGTTAGCTCAAAATTCACTTTTTGTATGAGTATGATTTTTTTATTCATTTAAATGTGATTTGAATTAGAGATACAGAATTTAAGAAGAACATAAAAAAAAAAATAAGTAATTATTTCTCCATTTAAATCTCCAATTGATATAATATTTAATTATGATGCTCCCTATTTAATTTGATATATACAAATCCCTATTAAAATATTATTCAAATTCAAAATTAATTATTAATTTCTTCATGTGAGCCTCCAATTGAAATCTTATTTAATAATGATACTCCTCGTTTAGTTCAATATACTCAAATCCTAATCAATATATGATTCAAATCCTATCTAATAATAATGTTTCTTATTTAATTCAATATACCCAAATCCCAATCAAATCAAAATATCATTCAAATCTTATTAATTAAATATATTCAGATTGCATCATATCATACCCGACCCGTTTTTAAAACTAAATCGGGTATTACAAGTTTTCAAGAATATAGTTGATAGTTGATGATAGAGAGAAATATTTATATTTAACATTTTAATATTTGACAGTATCTTGAATATAGTTTTTTTAAGTAAAATTGTTCATAATTTAGACCCCAAAAAATATTCATATGTTTAATTAAATACTATCTCTAGTCCTTAATACGAATATAAGATCTTATTTGACTTTTATTTTAGTTTTAAATATAAAACTTCAATCCATTTTATCTCTCATATTTATGTATTTTTTCTCTAAAATAGTCTTTTTAACAATAACAGTTCTAACCAATATACTTGATTAGCAATGATATTTTAAAAAAGATAATACCTATTTATTACAAATGATTAATTTAACTTTTTTTTAATTTTTTAAATTAGTTAACTAGCTCTTATAATTAAGGTAAGAGGTAATATTAATATTAATATTGACACGGCTTTAATATTGATTCACTCACTTTAATTAACTGACTTAATAATTTAATTTATTATTCTAAACTTTTTCAGGTGGCGCTTCGGACCGACGGGGCCAAAAAAGGGGTCGAGCCTAATGCTTTCATTTTATAACGGAAGAAAAATAATTTAGAATTAACTCACTAACTCAGTACCCAGGGCACCACCCGCGGCGCAATTCCCTGCCTGGGCTGCTGCAAGTCGCCATTTATACTGGAACACTGATGCAGTAAGGAAATCCTGAGACCGTGTACAAAAGGTGCCAATTCCATGTCTGCTTGATTTATCTCAGATTTTAGGTTTAGATTCTTGAGTTTTCTTACAGGAAACTAGAAATATTATCTAGTTGGTTGAGTTGAATGTTCGATGCGATGACTGGGGCACTTCGACTTTTTGGCCCCATGAGAATGCTTCAAGATGTTTAATTTGGATTATCGATTTCTTTATCAATCCAAAATGCTTTAGCATTGACCCCTTTATTTCTCTCTGTTTTTTTAAATCTCGATTTTCAGCTGACATTTGGGATTTCGGCGATTCTATGTTTGCTGGAGCTTCAATCAGAGGATTCAGTCGCTGTTTTCCCTGCCCACTCAAGAGGTTCCTTGTCACTCTCTTTCTCTCTCTCTCTCTCTATTGAACTCATTACTCTATTTGAATCGCATTGGTTCTTTTCCTGTTATGTTTGTTCCCTTGTTCAGTTGCTTATTTTGTAGTTCTGAATTTTCTTTCTCTGCTCGGTTGCTTGTAAAATAATTGGAAAGCAACGATAAGAGAAGAAACAATTTTCCCCTTACTGTTGGATTGCAGTTTTTCTTTTGGCTGTAGAACTTTATGGCTGCTTAGAAGTCAGGTTCCAGATTAAAATTAACACTCTATTAACTGTTTTTCTTTTTTACTAGAGCTGGAAAATGGATTGCTGTAGTTTTTGCTTGGAGTCTCTCCAAAACAAGAATATACAATCATTGAAAACATACATGAATAGAACGTTCAAACTGCCAAGGAGTAAAACTGATAAGAATAAATAGAATGTTCGAACTGCCAAGGACTATGACTATTGCAGCACAAAAAAATTATTTTGTTGTGAATGAAAAACGTTTGAGAAATTTTCCCTTCGCAAAATCATAGTTATTGATACAAGTGCTCACTTATTGCAGTGTTTCTGATGAATCATCATACTGTCCGAACTTTATCTCAAATTCTTTACCTAAAATTTGGAGCTTTCCAAACAATCTACTTTTCAAATTCAGGATGTTAATATTATAGTTTCCATGAATTACATCTTGATTTATATTCTTATCAAGCAACTGCGATTATCTAAGATTACCTGAACAGATGTTGCTAAGTTAAATTGATAGTTTCAAAATTTGAAAAGGAACGTCAGAAGACTTTGAAGGTTTTTTTAGTTTTCATTTTTTTCCCACGAAAACCTGCAAAAATATAAAAATTTCTCTTAGGACACTTCCTAGAAGCGCTTGTACTGTGTACATTGGAAAGCACAGAGAAAAACCTCAAAATTTTTAAAAAGGCACAATTGTGTGTGTGTGTTTTTTTTTTTTTTTTTTTTTCAAAGGCTATAAACTATTGCGTGTAGGCATTGCCTTTGGCTATGGATAACACCATGTATGCCTATTGTGTTCTCAGATTATATTTATATATTTAAAGATCTCAACTCAACACAGCTTTTTTCCTCTTGAGCTGTTAGTTTTAATGGTAAATTATACTAAATTGGAGGAAAAGGTTTCTGCAGTATAACAGTTCATGTTGTGAACTTACTCTGGCTCAAGTAGCTCTTCATCTCTTGGGCTCCTGAATCTATTTATTTTCTCTCTCTGCAGAGGTAGCTTGTACTGGTCCTGCTATCTGGTTGAAAATGTTCCTGCTGTCACATCATCTCCAGGGGCAATCCTGTGTTCCATATCTTCCACTCATGCTACGTGTATGCATCCAAGAAACTACAGTTTGGCAAGGCCTCTTTCAAGTTTGGCACCATTACCTTCTTCCTCAGATTTCCTTTTCATTCAGAGATCAAATATGTCAGCCCAGGGTATTTTTAGGAGCTGGCTGCTAGCTAGGTACATGAGTAATGCCTCATTTGAGCTGAACACAAACAATGATGTTGTAAGGTTCTCACTGGGCAAGACGCCTGATAATAGTAATTCCACAACAACGGCTAAGAAGAAGAAAAAAGTTAAAATGTCTAGAAAAGCAAAATTGAAGGAGCTCAGATTCTATCGTTTGAAGGCTAAAAAGAAGATGAATTCTCCAAATCCAGAAGTGAGGATAAGATATAAGCTTGAGAAGGTTAGATAGTTTTACGTCAGGTGTTAACATACCTTTATGATGACTTTAGATCTGCATATTTTCAAGACATTCTCCGGTTTTCAAATGAAAATTTATGTGATACTGCGGTGGTTCTTACTTGACACTACTGCTGCTTAAAATACCCAAAATAAAGTATCCACTTGTTTTTCCATGGGATTTGGAAGTTACAAGCTTTTTGTTAATGTGAAAAAAGTCTTCATGAAGTTCTTGTTTTTTTAACTGAGACAAGCATGCTTTGACCATGCAGTTTCTCAATTGCCTTATTGATTAGTTTGATAACAGGGCATACATTTAAGAATCTGCAGTGTCTTTTTTAATCATTGGTGTCTTTCTGCAGGCCAAGCGGAAGGAAGCCTGGTTGATTGAGAAGCTGAGGAACTTTGAGGTACCAAAATCCCCAGCAGAAACATATGATCCAGAAATTTTAACAGAGGAAGAGATACATTACCTGAAGCGTACTGGTGAGAAAAAGAAAAATTATGTTCCAGTCGGGAGACGAGGAGTGTTTGGCGGGGTTGTTCTGAACATGCATCTTCATTGGAAGAGGCATGAGACCGTTAAGGTTGTCTGCAAGCCTTGCAAGCCAGGACAGGTTCATGAATATGCAGAGGAACTTGCCCGTTTGAGCAAGGGTATTGTGATTGACATCAAGCCCAATAATACCATGATTTTCTACCGTGGAAAGAACTATGTGCAGCCAAAAGTAATGTCACCTCCAGATACGCTGTCAAAAGAGAAGGTTATTTCAGCTCTGCTATTCATTGGCCTAATTTAATTGTTAATATAGCCTGGTTTTGTATGTTAGACACTATCATTTTCTGCCATTTAGAAGGCACAACTATTTTCCTCTCTTTTCATGGGCTATTTCATGTCAAAATGATCTACTTCATGATATGTTGTTATAAAATTAAGTGTCTTGTGTACGAGCCATCTTTTTCTGATGCCCTCATATACCATGATCTTAATGTGTGATTTGTTTCCATCTAAATTAATATTCATTAGGGGCATTTCCTTAGGCTTGGTTTATAAAATGCTCATCATATTCCAGGCTTGGTGATTTGACACAATAGATGGCAATATGAAATGGTGCAGAACTGACTCATAGTCTTACACTGGCAAATATTCCTTTTTATGAGTGTCTGGTACTATTGTTTTACCTCTTTTCTCGAGCTCATAATGATGCTTTTTAAAAAAAAAAAAAAAAATTCATTAACCTTAATTCCCAGGCCTTGGAGAAATATAGATATGAGCAGTCCCTTGAGCATACAAGCCAGTTCATTGAGAAGTTGGAGAAGGAGCTAGAAGACTATCGTCAACACCTTGAACGATTTAGAAAAGGGAGAGAAAGCACCTGAAGAATAAAGATGCTATGCGTGAGTATCATATTACCTGATTGACAACTTGCATAAATGATGCTTGTTTCGATAGCCCAAAGGGGGCAGAAAAGCTCTTAATATATGCATTTTTCTCGTTTCTGACTTTCTGAAGATTCGGTCTAGATGTGTAATTGTATTATATGATCAATCTGAAGTTCTGAATCTGCTGAGGAACCTTCTACCAGTTTTTTTGTTATTTTTTTTGAGTGGTAATGTCAATCAGGAAGAGCAGAAGTAAAGAAGCAAATTATGACAAGCGGAGACTACCTAAATTAAATGTTGAAACAACGTGTTGTTCTAGTGATCCTTTTGGCGGGCCATATTATTGAATGTTGCGGTTTTATCTCTGGGAATTGGGGCAGGGTAATTCTGCTTTTCCAGACCTGAGGTTCACGTACATGAGCAATGGACAAAACGACTTTGTTGTCTTGAGGAAATGTAACCATGCAAGTCGTTCTTTGACGTCATTCTGGGCCAGTATCGTAATTTGACATTAGGTCGCCATTGTTGGTGATCAAGCTGTACAATATCCCATTTGGAATGGTTTATAAATAGCTTTCTAATTATGACTTGCGGAATACGAAATAAACATATGTAAAGAGTTTTGTCTCAATTTATATCAAATATACTTATAAGTTCTTATACTGATACCAAACAGACTAGGACTATTAAATAGAGCTGTGATAATAGAATTTAACCAAATTTGTTGTCGTTTTTATCCTTCTATATGGCCTCATTTAAGAGGCCAAATATCTATTTTCCAAATTCGTACACCACAAATTCACCACTTATTCTGTACTCCCTTTGTTTTTTTTTCTTTTGAAAATAAGTTTTCTTCACATTGCTCCTATGAATAAAAATGGTTTCGGGAAAGATCAAATATGCCTTCCTTTAACGTATCAAAAGCCAAGCATCCATTAAACTATATATGAAGTAATACCTTTTTTTAAATGTAAAATAGTGTCCTACAACTATATATGATACCTTGCTTCAGTGTTCTAAAAGTAAAGCCTCCGTGAAAATTAAATCATTTAGTCCTTCCAGTCCTTATCACTCGCATCTAAATACCTCTTCAAAACTGAGGAGAGAAGGCTAACTCTTAAACTTTGCCTCGAAGTGAAAGATTTTTTCAACTTCATCTTTATTTAAGAGCATGGGAAGTCACTTTGCTAGTTAGTAAAAGGTACTATAATTACGGGAAAGCAAAGCTAAATGCATCAAAGTATTTCTCAACAAATTTAGTAAAATGTTGTCTTAGAAGATAATACCTTCAAAGTTTGAAAAAATGAAGCATCCATTAAACCATCTATGAAGTAATATCTTAAAGAATAATACCTTACTTCAATGTTTCAAAATTCAAGCCTCTAATCCATAAACCAAGTTACCAGATTCTATTGTTCATTATTCCTCCTGTCCATAATATAATAAGTTAGCTTCTCTCACATACCAAAAAATAAAAGTTTAATCATTAAATGGGTTCTTAAAAAAATAAAGTTTTACTATTTTACCCCTAAAAAATGACAAAATGGCCTTTAATATTACACTTTTATTACCTCTCATCTCTCTCCTCTTTCTCTCTTATATTTAATGGGGGTGAAAGTGAAAAAATCACATTAATTATCTTGACAACATCTCACGTTTTGGATCGCAATTTTCTTCTAACTAACAGCTTATATTATTGACCCGTGGGGGTATAAAAATATACATTCTAAAGCTGTAAGAGTTCTACGTCACAATTTGAAGTTCAGGGTTTGTCAATTCTCACATTCAATCATTGCAATTTCTTTGCCAATTCTCTCGTTCAATCATTACAGCTTCTGCTTCTGCAAATCAGTTTCCACACTCCCTTTGGATCCTTCTTTTTGATTATTCAGTCCATTAAAGGTTGTTCTTTTTCTCCTATATTTTTCCAACAACCGAAAAAAAAAAAGCCTTCTTCTTTTGCAACACTGATTTCCTTGTAGTTGATTTCTTCATTTATTCTCATCTCTGTCATTGTTCTATAACTGTTCTTCACCTCATTCAAAATACAAAAAAAAAAAAAGCCTTCTGTTATTAAATATTCTACCCAAATATTTCAATTTCTGCTTTTATTTAATACTTTTCGTGCCCCTTTTTCTGTGTCTTTGAAATCTTCCATTGATTCTTCTCTCCGTTATTCATTGTTGGTTTCGTTATTCTTAAATTAAAAAAAACTCCAAAAAATAAGAAAAACAAGGGTTAAAAAAAAGAAAGAGAGGCTTTCATATCCGAGGCATTGTTACGGAAAGGCATAGAAGTCTCTGCAGGAGAGGTAATTTTTGCATCCCATGGTACTTTTGAAATTTTGTTAGTATGTGTATTTGCATTTGGCCTTTTTGTTGTATATTTTAGTCCATTAAAGTATTTAAATTAATAACAATGTCTTTTCAGCTTATGGAAGATAAGTAGCATTTAAATTTAAGAGAGCATCGAAATTTGTGTGAATTTATATATAGTTTTTATCTTATTTGTACTTTGATATTTTACATGATTATATTGTTAATTTCTTAAACTTTCTCATTTTTATTGATCAGATTTTGGCTGATAATCTCAAGTCTGAAAATTGAAGATTCTCATGCCTTAGTGCGTTTGCCTGCATCCAAGTTAGCGTCGCAGATTTTCATAGCCTATTCTGTAAATTAAAAAATGAACCTAATTGTCGATCAATTATTAATATAATGCATAATATATTGCCATTGATATGGTTGGGGATCCTACAGGAAAAAATTCCCAATTTATGTCGCTATGAATTTTAATTGCCTAAGATAAAAATTTGTGGAAATGTAAAGAGAAAAGGGGGAAAATAAAAAGTAAAATAACATAATTAAAAAAGGAGAGAAAAACATGCGTAGGTTTATTGAATTTTTTAAAAAAGGTAAATAATAAAAAAAAAATTTCTCGTGTGAGTTTAATATTAGATTTTTTTTTTAATTATGATTTTTACTAAACATTATTAGACCATTGATAAAAACTGAAGTCATATTTTACATAATGTTCTGTGTAACACATATTTCACATAATGTTCTTCTTTATTTTCTCTTTCCTTCCCTTTTCTTTTTCATCTTGTATTCTTGGCATCGCTTTATCTCTTCATGTCCGAGTTGTGCTCTCTCTGAATATAGTTTTTTTTGTTCAAATGCGATAAAAATTTATATGCCTGAGTGTATATGTTGTCAGATAAAATTGTGTATAACTCTCCATAGGTAACTTTTTAATTAACAGTAATAAATTTTTATTTTTCATCAAACAATACATTTTCCATTTAAAATATTTTGGGTATTCTTAATTAAATCATCATGAGTATACAGAAGGGTGTATTTTTTAGTGTACCATAATTATGCATTATGCACGATTATTTAACACTTAAAGAATTATGTCTTGAATGGTGTTTAGTAAGTGTGGTTGTTAATACTTTGTATTTAACAATATAATTTTCAGTGCGTCAATCATTTATTAAGTTTTAACTCTCTTGACCCTTGAGAGGTTTGGGAGGAAACAAGACTTGTTAGTTCATTATAACTTTACTCTATTAATTAAATAGATAAATAAGCTTTTTACTTTTGGGTTAAGCTGCATCTAGCATCAGAAAGTATTAAAATATTTTGTGGTATATCTAGCACCTTGAGTGTGTCCAGGATATAAAAGTATTTTTTTTCATCTAACAACCTAAAGTATTAAGGCAAAAAAAAAAAATTTCAGGGTGTTGGACGGCTGGACGCCCTTAAAAAATACTCAAGAGTATTAGATGCATCACAAAAATACTTTAGAGTACTGAATACACATAAAAAAAAATTTCAGGGTGCTGGATGTATATTAACCTTTTACTTTTTGATATAGTGACTTTTTTTAAAAAGACAGTTTCATTTGCTTTTTACTTCCTTCCCTGTTGAGCCTCTTGCAGCGCAACAACCAATCCTGTTGCTAATTAAATAAAACATGATTCACGTATCTAATTTTGTTTTTAATTCATTCACCCTATTTTGCTTTAAAAAAATTCTTTCACCCTATTCTTATTTTTAGATAAATTTAATATATTTGAACATATAACAAACTCAAAATTTGAATTTCTCATTATAATAGGTGAATACCAAAAATAATATTTAATTTTAATGTGTTCCCACAATCTAAAATTTCTGGGTCCCTTGCTGGCACATGTAATAATAGGCTCATACCCTCTGTTGCATTTTTGCGCAGGAGAGAGAATAGTTTCTTATCTTATTTGTGCTTCCATCTCTTATATATTCATATAGCTAATATCTTAAACTTTCTCATTTTTATTTCGCAGATCTTGGCTCGTTAAATTAAGTGAAGCTGATATTGGCATACTTCCTTTGCTTGCATCCAAGTTAGTATGGATATTCATAATTTTAATTTATCGATCCATAGATAATTTCGTAGCTTATTTTCTCTATAAATTGAAGTGACCCTTTTTTGTTTGACTTTATATACTATGGTGACTCTCTTGACTTATATATAAATTGCTATCAACATGAGTTTGCTCATGATCATTGTTATTGCTAATGATCTTGACTTGTGAAGAAATCCAATAATTAGTAACTCATGAAATTTTAATATAACTAAGTCATGCTTCATAGATTTAAATCGTGGTAGTTGCCGAGGTTCTTATACATAAATTGCTATTTGATATGTTTCGGGTCATCATGATCATTAATTGCTATAGATTTGAGGATGAATATGCATCCTTTCTTAAGATATTATATAGATAGATGCACACTTAGTTGGGTGAAGAAGAGAAAGATGTCATATTCTTTCTATGATCTCACCCTCCTATTGAATAATATGGCTTTGATTAGTATATTATGATCTTAGATCATAGGATCTAGTTGATTTTGTAACTGTAATCCCATATGCATGTTAGATGGATATCTGTACCGGTGTTGCAACAACAATCATCCCAGACTTGCTACGTAAAACATGGGAGGAACTTCAGTATCAGCGTAAACACAAGAGTTTTGTTCAAGACTTCAAAAGGGAGCAAGAAGAGTTGTTAGCTATAGTGAAAAGTGTAGAGCTAAGGATAGACGAAGCCAAGAAAAAAAATAAGACTCAAGTTGACCCTATAGTTGAACACTGGCTTAAAAGTGCCAATGAACTTTTACAGCAAGACACTAAACCAGCCAAATGCTTTGGCTTGTGTACAAATTGCTGCTCACAAATTGCACAAGCCAAGGAGTTGGAAAAACTGATGAAAGAGTGGATACCAAAAATGATCACTGAATTTAAAGAATTTCCTAAAGAAGTAGCACGTGCTGCTGGAGTGCCAGGCATGGAATTCCATTCACAAGAGTTCATGCCCTTTGAGAGTAGAAAAGAAAAGTTTGAGGAACTCAGAAAGGAATTAGAACATGAGAATAACTGCATGATAGGATTGCAAGGACTAGGAGGAACAGGGAAGTCCACAATGGCAATAGAAGTTGGGAGACAAGTTGAAAAATCAAAACTCTTTGATAAAGTCATCTTCATTACTGTGTCTACCCCTGTGGATGAAAAAAGGATTCGAGATGATATTGCAAAGAAATTAGAGTTGCAATTAGAGGAAGAGATGCCAATGAGTCCTGCGCAACAAATATGGACCAGGATTGCTCATGTTGGAAAGGTGCTCATAATACTTGATGACGTATGGGAAGAACTCGATCTTAAGAACATGGGGATTCAACCTGGCTTTCATATCAAGGGTTATTGCTGTGTTCTGCTAACTACACGTTCTTTGATTGTTTGCAACAAAATGGGATGCCAAAAGACAATTCAATTAGATGTCTTGCCTATGGATGATGCATTGAATCTTTTCTTATCTCATACTACTATAAGGGGAAATGATTGTCCTGGCGATTTGAAAAAGTTAGCACAAGATATTGTGAATGAGTGTGGAGGATTGCCAATTGTGATTGTAGCAGTGGCAAAGGCCTTAAAAAGCCCGTCTCTACAACAATGGCAGGCAGCTTTGATTGCATTGAAAAACCCCATGCCTTCAAGGCATGGTATTGTTGATAAGGATAAAAGAAAGATTTATAATTCTCTGAGACTTAGCTATGATCATCTAAAAGATAAAGAAGCCAAAATTCTCTTCCTGTTGTGTTCTATCTTCCCAAAAGCTTATGAAATACCCTTAGAGCTTTTAAGCAGAATTGCTATAGGTTTAGGGCTTTTTGGAGAAGGTGACCAATACTACATAGCAAGAAGTCATGCTGATGGTATTGAAAATGCACTCATAAATTCTTCTTTATTGTTAAAGACTGGTGAAGTATATGTAAGGATGCATGACGTCATCCGCGAAATGGCCTTGGAAAAGATAGACAATGAAAAAATTCAAGTGATCATGGATTCTAAGACAAAATTGAAGGAGAATGTGATGTACTCATCTTGGATCATAAGTGGCTTTCCTAATTGTTCTGATGATAGCAAAGTCGAGGTTCTCTTTGTATGGATAAATACAAATGGTTCTTTGGAAGTTCCAAATACAATCTTTGGAGCGATGAAGAGCCTTAGAGTTCTGCTTTTGAATTCAAAAATTGAGTTTGGTAGAACTCCAGCTCAATCGCTACCAAAATCAATTCAATCATTAAATCATATCCGAACACTATCTCTCACAAATTTGGAGTTGGATGACATATCAGTGTTGATGAGCAACTTAGAAAAACTTGAGTCTTTGGAATTGACTAATTGCTCAATTACAGAATTACCAAATGGAATTCATGAGCTAGATAAGTTGAGATTTCTAAGCTTGATACGTTGTTCGCTTCAAAAGAGCAATCCATTTGAAGTGATTGCAAGATGCTCAAAATTGGAAGAATTGTACTATGTTTCAAATGATGATCATATTCCTTGGAGCAGAAAGGTTCCTCAAATTACAACCCCTCCTAATTATCGAACATTCCATATAGATGGCAGTGATTTCTCTGAGTTTGATTCTTCTCAGCTGGATGCTTCAATAAAAAAATGTTTCAAGCCAGCCAGGTTGCAAACAATCTTCTCCGATGAAGTTATTAAATCCTTGGCGGCGATAGCAGAGATTCTGGAGCTAGAAATAAATAATGAAGCAAGCTGGAGCAATCTTATTCCTGACGTTGTTTCAATTGAAGATGATGGAGCCATGAAAGATTTAATCAAGCTTTCTTTGAAGGAATGGTATAAGATGAAGTGTTTGATCTATACAGAGAATCCTCAACTTAAATCTGGAGTGAGTATCTTATCCAAGTTAGCTGAACTGCAACTTGATGAAGTGGGTTTGACAGAAATATGTTGTGGACGGTATCCTGATGGTTTTCTCAAGCAACTAGAGAAGCTCGAGTTAACTCGATGTCAGTGGTTGGAAAGCACATTATTTAAAGGGAAGCTAGAGCTGGGTAACCTTAAGTTCATTGAAATAAACGGTTGTTCAATGACTTGTCTTTTTCATCCATCCACTGCTCAAAGTCTAGAGAACCTAGAGACGTTGAAGATAGCTCGATGTTTTGAGTTGAAATACATAATAAGTGATGAGGGATCGTCAACAGCAAAAGAAGTGGATGATAAGGATCCTAATCCAATAAGAAGTCATGACTCAATGTTCCCAAAATTGAAACTACTCAATGTTGATAGTTGTGACGAATTGGAATTCATTTTGCCAACTTGTTTTTGCGAAGACCTTTCTCTATTGGAAGGTGTGGAGATTTTCTCGTGTAAGAAGCTAAAATACATGTTTGGGCAATATTCAAAAGAGGGAGGGTTGCATCAAATGCAAAAAGAAAACGCACTCCCTAGTTTGAAAGTGATGTCTATTGGAGATGTTCCATCATTTGTCAACATATATCAAGAATGTTATCTCCCAGAAAAATCCGTAGCAAATACGAGTGAGGGGTCAAAGGACAAAGACAAGAGTCCAAGTAGCTATGTTTCTTGGGGTCCTTTATGTTGTTTTCTGCCAAAATCAGAAACTGCAAACAATGATGCGTCATGTATTTCCACAACTCAGCTGAACCATACTACTTCACAGGTACATACATATGTTCCTCCCTTGCAGTTTTTATTGATGCTACATATGTTTCTTTGCAATGAGAATTAATTGAGTAGTGTTCATTTGAAAAAAAGAAATATTAGAATAAGCAATCACCCATTATACTTTCAAAAATTGTGTTGATCAAATTGGCTATAATGTTTAGCGTAAAATATTTTAAAAAGGCCTAACATTTGAGTCATTTACAGAGAGCCTCTATATAGCATTTTTTATATTTAAAATTAACCTCCCCAGATTCTTATCTTTTCATTTGATTTAAAAGAAAAATTAGGAAAATTCATCCATTAAAATTTTATTGGTACTTTGTACGTACAAATTTTACAGAGTATTAGTACTTTTATATATAAAAATTTATCAAGTACTTCTCGCTGATGAAATGAGGGGTCATTGTCTTCTTTCCGGAAATCCCATTTTGTACTTTAGACTAAATATATAGAGTTCTCTTTCAAAAAAATCCTAGTCAATAATATCACTAAAATTTTTAGGTGTTGCAAAAGAGCCACTTTCGACACACCACCAGCAAGACCCACTTAAATTCATTTCTATTTGTTCATAAAATTTTATATCAAAATATAGAAATAAATTTAAACCATTAAAATTTAATTTGAACATTTTGTTAAAATTTGATATAAACAGTTAACAACTTAAGTGAAAAAAAATAAAATGTTTTAATAACAGTTTACAATTATGAACTGCATATTTTCATATACAATTATAATAATAATTTTATGAGACATTAAATCTGAATGGTTAAAATCATAATGAATGGTGATGAGAATGGGAAAAAGAGGAAAAACAGAGTAAGGGTAAAGGAGAGAAGCCAATTTCGTGGTTTTTGTGCCACAAGTTTTGGTTTTGTTAACTGACAAATAGGTTTATAATATAAAGAGGGTTTTCTTGATGCCCCTTTTTTTTTTTTTCATGAGGAAAGAATATTTTGGCAGGTTTAATTTCATTTGTTGAGGGTATTACATCCTCCCCCCCCCCCCGCTTTACTGTTGAAACTTGGACCAGAGATATTGTAATTAAGATTTTTTTTTTTTCGTTGGGATCAACTGAAGATGAAGACGGATGGTGTTCGTGTGAAAATGGCATGAACCTCATGGTTTTTTTATTATGTTTTGTAGAATAATTTATATGAAATATATGTTGCTGTGGTATCTGTCTCTGTTTTTTTAATCATACTTCAATTTATACAACTTTTCTATAACCTCACGGTTCATATCTATTAAATGGATAATTTATTTTGTTTGCGGAGAAAATTTCTCCACCTATATGCTGCAGGGTACAGGGCATCCATAAATTTTTTTTCACATTACATTAACACTGAAATTTTTAACAACTAACCATTTTTAAATCTTGCTTCATTGTTTATTAATTAATTGATTGAGAAGAATTTAGAAGGTTGGAAATTGTTGGCAAAAAAGAAAAAGGAGGTTGGAAATTAAATTCGTAATAATTTTCTAATATAGTAGCTGAGACGTATTGAAGATTTTTTTTTGGACTCAGTATTGAAGATTAAGTTAGATGAGATGTGGAAAAAAAAATCTTTGATTATCCTTATTTATTTTGAAAAATTGAAATAAAATGTCTATCCGCTCCCGCTTTTGCATCCGTTCTTTTATGGTGCTACTACTCTAAGGAGACAAACAAAAAAGCTGCAATTTAATATACACATTTGTAATTTGTTAAAGATGAATTGATATATTTGTTTGGAATGCAGAATAAATATGTTGGCAATAGAGCTCATGGAATTTTTACACCACCGTTATACCCACGCTATTTGAGAAAGATGAATATTGGACGCATTTCAAACTTAAGGTCACTATTTTCCGTATCCGTTGCCTCATCAATGTCACTGCTAGAAAAATTGACAGTCCGGAGGTGTGATGAACTGGAGCATATAGTAATGGAGGAGGTAGATGGTCATGATCATATGAATGGCCAAATTTTCTTTCCCAACTTACGCACCATTGAAATAGGTTCATGTGACAAGTTGGAATCTCTATTTCCAGCTTCACGTTGTACAAACCTTGTGCTCTTGGAATCTGTGGATATCGGGTGGGCTGGAGAGTTGAAATATCTGTTTGGAAAATCTTGTGGTGATGATAAGTCACGTCAACAAAAGCAGAATTGTGAGATTCATCTCCCAGCTCTCAAGAAACTAAGCCTTAAAATAGTGCCAAAGATGGTGAGTATGTGCCCTGAAAACTATGATGTGGCAGCATCATCTCTAGAAGGCATCACTTTGAATAAATGTCAGAAACTTCCTATAGACTCTGTTATAGATGTATCAGTGGAGAGGCATGAAAGACAAGAACAAGTCTCAAGGAAAAAGGTAATTAATTATTTTTCAACAGTCAGTTTATGATTATTGATTTATTGCTTTGCTCTTTGATAATAACATGATACGATGCAGGTAATCGGGATGCGCTTGTGCAATCTGAGACATCTTTCTTTGGCATCCTTGGACATGGTGGAAACGATTTACGATCTTGAAAGACTTCAGATTGCAAGTCCTGTGAATTCAACCTTGAAAACCCTGAGTTTGGAAGACTTGGATGGGTTAAGAAACATATGTGTGGGACCAAAAAATCTTCAACTGAGCTTTCAAAATCTTTTCAAGCTAAAAATAGATGCATGCCGTCAGCTAAGATTTGTCTTGCCTGCGTCTATCTCGAGAAGCCTGCCATGTTTGAGACACCTACAGGTATCAGATTGTGAACAGCTAGAGCGCTTCATTGAGGATGATGAAGAATGTTGTTTCCCAAATCTCCACTGGATTGTGGTGGAAGACTGCAAGAGGTTGAAATGCCTATTCTCTGTCTCCACATGTTGTAGCTTTCCACAACTCTCGATGTTGCTTATAACAGATGCCCCAGAGCTGGAGCAAGTATTTGGAGGGGAGAAGGGTGCAACACAAGAGTTGCACATCAACCATGTGTTCCCAAAGCTATTTATGATACTCCTTGAAGATCTACCAAAACTTCATACCATCTGCCCTGCAATTGATTTCCAGACTGTGATATATCGTCAAGTAGAGGATTGTCCCAAGCTTTCTTTAACTTCAACTGATAATTCTGAGTCCTTTGATAGTAAGCACATCGGAAAGAATTAATTAATTATTTAACATAATTGCTATATACTTGCTATGATTTTTCTCAATATGCCGTCGTGTGCGGAATTGTCCCAATATCTCTTTAACTTCGACTCATAATGAGGTCCTAGACAGTAAGCATCCGAAGGAATTAATTTATTTTTTACAATTGCTATATACATCCTTGCAATGATTTTTCTCATTATAATATATATTTGTAATTGCTTTGTTTGGTTAGCATATATGGAATGGTTCACAGAATCTCAGAGCAAAGAGGGCAGCATGGATGAAGATGATCTTTTTGAACAGCTTCTTGATGTAAGTACCAAAATAAACTTAAATAAACAATGAACAATGCATGCCAAACTTAAATAAACTTAATGGGCCTCTTGTTCTTGACCCAATGGCCCATCATTACTCCATTTTGTTTTCACTTTAAAATTTAAATGTTTTATTAAATTTTGAAATTCACCCTGCATTGTCCAGGAGATTTTTTTTTAATATATTTTTAATCAATTCTAATAAAAAAAAATTGAATGAACAACTGGTCATTCCATTCAACCCGTAGAATGGCAAAATAAACCCTATTTTAGATTTAAAAAATTACTTATAACTCTCATTAAGAAAATTAAATATATAAAAGTCTCAAAAAAATTTATCTTTTATAATTAAATATAACAAGTTATGTTTACAAATCAAACTTTCATGTTTATAAGTTTTTTTTTTTTTGGTTGCCAACATGTTTATAAGTTGAATTGCATCATTTTAAGTGAAATTAGTATACCTTTTTCAGCACCTAGCTCTGTGATTAATTTTATTAATTGAAGCTTAAGGTTGATTTTTTTTTTTAAAAAAAGAAGTATTTAAAAAACATCTCATCTAATATACCATCTAACCATATTCACGGATATGTTCAATTATTTTCCAGAGGGCAAGAGAAGCAGCAAAGAAGCTTCTAAAGAGAGACCGACCAGCGGCAGAACAAACCAATGGTTCATCAAATGTATGTATACTATATTTTCCTATAATCTTGGTTTCTTCCAAATGTTGGTTCAATATCATTAAATTAAATCCAGAACTTTTTAATTTCTTTGCGGTCTCTTATATGTTATAGATCGAAGAAATAACACAGGCAAGTTACGAAGACAGTCCAAAACCAGAGGAAGCTACAAAAGCTGATGAAACCAAGTATTCAGGACAAACCAGCAAACGCGCACCATTTTCTGCTCCTTCACAAATTGAATCTCCACGAGTAAGATTATCATATTTTACAATACAAAACCGTTTGAGTTTTCCTCCAACACATCTTATCAAGTAAGTTTATACTTTATTGCATATTTTTTGTGAGTCATGTTAGACTTTAAAGCAGCTTGGAGACACACATTATAAACTCATCATATTTTACATTTTCCTAAAATAAGATAGTCTTACATCAACATCAGACATATTGTAAGCTCATGCAGTACCAAAGCAGTAGAAAATGAAATTGTTAAACGAGTTCATACTTGTGATATACCAGCGACAACAGCTATTATGGAAGCCAGTGTTATTCGATGTAACGCTGTGCAGAATATCGAAGCATTCTTGATTGCTTCCAAATTTTTGCACAATGTCATTAAATTAAATCCAGAACTTTTTAATTTCTTTGTGATATCCTATGTTGCAGATTAAGGAAATAACAGAGGCAAGTGAAGAAAGTCCAAAATCAGAGGAAGCTGCAAAAGCTGATGAAGTCAAGGATTCAGAGCAAACCAACAAACCCGCACCATTTTCTGCTTCTTCACAAATTGAATCTCCAAAAGTATGATTATCATATTTTACAATACAAAACAAACGTATCCTTCTGAACAATCACAGATAAATGTTTTCATGTAGTGTGAGAGAGGATTTCATCTGCATTCTAAAGATCCACAAGCAAAACCATCTGAACTTTCCTCCAATATAGCATCTTCTGAAGCAAGTCTATACCTTATTGCATTGTTTTGAGTGATTATACTTTATTGCATTGTTTTGAGTGATTAATGTTAGATTTTAACATCTTGAAAACACATGCATTATGAATTCCACATAAATGAAATAGGCTTGCACAAACATCCAATAGTACTTCTCTCCATTAACATATTGTAAGTTCAAGGTGTACCAAAGCAACAGCAAATGAAACTGTTAAACAAGTTCCTATTTCTGACATACCACCGACAACAACGCCTTCACGTGTGTATATATTATAAATTTATTTACCTAGTGCAGAATATTGTTGATGAAGAGATAATGGCGCTATAGAACTAACTCACTGCAAGATAAATTACTTCTTTGTTCTATGCAGCAAATTATAAAGGAAAGGTTGAAGCCAACATCTCAAGAAGGTTCTAAATTAGATGAAGCTCTTAGAACAAATCAAATAATGAATCCAGAATCAAGCAAGCCATCGTCAACAGCATTTGTTGTTCCTTCAAAAAATGAGTATCCACAAGTAAGAATATAGTCCTTCCCTGATATATAAGTTGAATTTATGGTAGATGACACAATTTTATGGTGCTTCTTGCGTATTTATGTTCATTTAGGATAATAAGGACAGCATTGTGGGCGAGGGCCAGAGAATCACACTTGATCAACAAGCACTAAAAGAACATACTATGCCTCTTGGTGATTCACAAAAGGTTAATTAACAATCTACAAAAAGATTATATGTTTTCTAATGTTATATTGTCACAAAAACAAGAAACTGATGTAATTCAACGCTGTGCAGAATATTGTAGCAAGTGTTGGAGAAACGTCAAATAAAATTGCAAATGCAATTCCATCAACTAGTATCGAAACAAGCTCTCCATTGGTAAATAATTACTCTTCTCATTTACCCTCATTTGATTTTTTTTCCCCCCTCACTATTGGTACTTTACTAACTTACGTTGATATTAATTTTTCTATTTTTCTGGTTTTAGATCCCTTCAATCTCTACTCCCAAGAAGCCTCAAATAACAACTTCAAGTATTGAATCAAAAGCTGAGAGCTCACAATCAGACCATTTAGATATTTACATTACTGAATCTACACAAGTATGTTTATAGTTTACCGCACTGTTTTTTGGGTGTAATGTTTTTCTTTTAAAATAATTAACAAATAAGTTTTGTGTTGATTACTATATATAACTCGACTTTTATTTATTAGAATCCTATATGTTTTAGGGAATAAATGTCACATTGTTTATTGAATTGTATTAGTAAGAATAATATTTGTTCACTCTTATCCACTTCAGGATGAAATTAAGGCCATCCAAGTAGAGACTTGCATGCCTAAACGACTTGAAGATGATGATCTAATGAGATCATTCCAAACAATGGAGGAAGATGCTGCTCATGAAGATGATAGTGAGGTGACCAAGGCTCTTGCTGATTTGGAAGCCTCATTGAAGATGGATCTCAATGAAATAGCTAGCTTTGAAGAAAGCAGACTTTGCCTTCAAAATGCTCTCCACACCTTGTCCTCTCACTGTTCTGATGTTAATCTCAAAGCTAAAGTACACTCTTTACAACAAGAAATCCCAACTATTCTATCTTCTTTCAGGCAAGCCTATGCTACCATTGAGACAGTGACCAACCTTGAACAAAAAGAGAAGGTAATGATTGAACAACGTTCACATCGAAAAGAAGCAGCCATGACTCTTCTATCTGAAATTCACAAGACTCAAAATTCGATGGTTGAGGCTCAAACAAGGGAAGCAGAGTTGAAGGAGCAAATCTCTAAGTTGCAGGCTCAATTGTATAACAAAGAAAAAGAAATCACAGAGTGTGAGATCAAATTGTCGTCTCTTCAAGAGCAGAAGAAGAAATGTGTTTCAGACACCATTGAATTCAAAAAGGAGTTGGAAGCAGTGAAGAAAGAGAGGTCTTGCATGGTGGAAGACCGAATAAAAGCAAAGCACCAACTAGAGAATGTGCATTCTAGCTGGTCTTCTTACCAGGCCCATTTGAAAAAAACCTCATCACAGTTGGGAATTCATCTTAAGCAGAAGCTCTGAATGTTGAAGACGTTCATTTAAATTTCGTAAAAAATATTAATAAAGGTCCTAGCCCGTTGGGTTGTTATTTATGTATTCTATGTTTTTTGTATTATCATTGTGGTGATTTTCACTATGTTGATAGTGATAAGCGGTTGAGTTGTTATCCAAAGAAAAACGCAAAATAAATAAATAAATAGCAGGGCTAGCTTGGGTTGAGAGTTGTGTGAGACCTATTGTTGGAAATATTAATTATAGTAAAAATTTGCTGGACTAAGTACCGTGGTTTTTATCTCTAACATTGAAGGGGTTTTTCACGTTAAAAAATGGTGTTCTTCTATTTGTTTACTTGGTGCAATTTTTTTCAATATCTTTAAGACATGATCTCACTTCATTTTATAATATGAAAAATGTGACTACCATGTTTCATCTTTGCAAATCCTTTTTTGTTTATAAAGTAATTTTTCACTCGTCAATTTCGGATAAGTTACGTTGTTAGAGCGGTACGGTTTCTTATGTTGACCCTCACAATTACATCATTTATTAAGCACATGGTTTGTGAGGTAACAAAGAAATACATGTGACAAAGTGAAATATGATATATATATATATATGTAGAAAATAATACGGGAATTGCACAGTATTTACTAAAATTTGTTGCATATTTACACGAACTGTATCCTAATAAAATCTCAAATATATATGTATAGATATAAACTATGGTGTTCAGCTTTATATGTTGGTTACCATAAGGATCATGTTCGGCTAGACATGTAATAAGATGCTCCTTTGGTCGTTAATACAGAACTTAATTATTGAGCTGATTTTGATACTAAATATAATACATATATATCATATTTATCATTTTTTTCTAAATTACTCCTACTGATATTCCGTCAATCATGATCAAGCAAGAGAGTGAGGGAAAATATCGAGAAATATGATTATAGTGTTTTAGGAAAAAAAACATATCATGTTTATTATAATTAACTGACTTACCTAACTTTGTTAATCTAATCAAATTAGTTAAGTTGGTCTTCATAGATCGGAGGAATATATAATATTTATCATGTTTTTTTATTTTTGTTTAACAATAATGATGTAAGTGGATTTGTACATGACACGGAGCCTAAAAATAAGTAGTATTGTTCATGGTTGGTATTGTTGCGGGTTTTTTATTTAATGGTTTTTGCCAACTTTTTATATGGTATATGTATGATATAATATTGATGGATTTTTTTATTATTTTTGATGTAGAAGTATTTTCCCCCATACCTATGCAATCACTTCTAGTTTCTGTTTTGCCTTCATTATATGAATTTCCTCTCCATTTCTGAAACATATATTTTAGTCTAAACTTTCAGCACCGTTAAAGAATATTCTAAAAAGTTTTATTTTATTTTTCTACATTTAAACATAACAAACTACATCGGTTAATAAATAGAAGCTTTTTACAATAGAAATTAGCAATTATGGTGAAGCGTAAAAAAAAAAAAAAATTCTTAAACCATATATGGCGTCTCAGTAAATATCCTGAATACTTAATTTTGAAACTTGTACACCACAAATTCACAAATTATATTTCGTACTCCCTCTGATATATAAATCTTTTAGAAATTCGTTACGTTTTACCTTCTAATAAAAATGGTTTATTGAAGGACAAGATATGCCTTCCTTTAATATATCAAAAGCCAAGGATCCCTTAAACCATATATGAAGTAATACTTTTTAACAAATCTAAATTGGTGTCCTGGAACTATAAACCACATATCAAGTCATCAACAGATTCCCTTGGACACAACTCTCTCTCTCTCTCTCTCTCTCTATATATATATATATATATAGTTAAAGAGTTCTATACATCACGATTCAAAATTTAGTTGCCAATTCTCACAATCGATCCTTACACTTTCTGCTTCTTCAAATCAGTTTGCACCCTCCATTTGGATCCTTCCTTTGAAGGAAACTCTTTTGCAAGACTATTTTCCTTGTATTTCATTTCTTTGTTTATTCTCATCCCTGTTATTAGTCATTGCTCTGCAGCCTTTCTTCTGTTTTCAAATACTCTATACACAAACATTGCAAAATATTTTTCTTGCTCTTTTTCTTTCTTCTTAAATTCTTCCTTTAATTTTGGTTTCGTTTTTCTGAGATAAAAAACCATCAAATTAAATAACAAAAGAGAAAAAAAAAGTCAATTAAAAAGGAAAAGGACAAAAGGAGGCTCTCATCGATGGCATTGCTGCAGAAAGACATAGAAATCTCTGAAAGAGAGGTAATTTTATTCCACGATACTTCTTCAATTAATGTGTGCGCGCGCGTGTTTGGACTTGATCTTCTTGTTATTTATTTGAGTTTGTTAAAGCATTTACATTAATGGCAATGTCTTTTCAGTTTACGATATATTCCTCCGATCCTAAATATAAAGACCTTTTTTGTAGTATAATTTACATTATAAAAGAGGTCTTATATTTAGGACCGGAGGAGTAAATAATTTTTTTTAAAAAAATTATTTTGCAGAGATTGTGATTTTTTTAAAAAATATATAAATAATAGGGGTAAAATTAAAAAGTTATTATCAAATTTTAAGATAAAGTTAAGGGAAAATCGCAAAAAAAAAAAGCTGAAATAGAAAAATTGAAAATAGGGACCTGTTACAATATTACTATGGGTTTTGACAATAATAGTATAGGTTTTGGCAACAATTTTTGTGAACGGATCCTTATCTGCAATTTTTTAAATTTGAGGGTCTTTTTTAGCATTTTTCCTGAAGTTAATGACTTATAAATATAATTAGAAGAGTATTTAAATTTATTATTATTATTTTGTTAGAAACGGTCATAAATTTGTATACTTCATCAATAAATATTTTCCAATTAACATGCTTTGGATTATTCCATATTAGATTATCATGGATATATAGAAGAGTGTGTTTTTATGCGTACAATTATGTTAATAAAACAAAGTTACGATGATGCAAACCATCTCGGTTATGAATAAATTTGTTGGCCCAATTACGTTTTTCCTTTCCCATTTTGTGTTGTATATCCCGTCATATTCTATCCTTCAATTAGTGTGTGCGGACTTGATCTTCTTGTTATTTATTCTAGTTCATTAAAGTATTTTATATTAATAGCAACGGAAAATGAATAATACTCCTATTGTTTTATTTGTAAGTTACTGAGAGAATTTTTTTGTGCTACTTATAAGTTACATTGTTAAATTTTTATATAAATATATAATTTTTTTTATTATGGTGCTGAGATTGTATTCTTTTTAAAAATATATATATTAAATATGGATAAAATTAAAAAGTTATTAAATTTTAAGATAGAACTAATGATATTTTTTTAAAGTTTTTCTTGATTACAATAAAATATGTTAAATTTGACTAACAAATAGAATTGGAAGGGTATCTAAATTTACCAGTGGTTCACTAAGTCTAGCACTTTTATAAGTTTTTTCAGTTAGCAAGGGTCATGAATTTGAATACTCCATCAATCAATATTTTCCGATTAAAATACCTTGGGTTATTCCTCATTAAATTATCAGGAATATATAGAAGAGTGTACTTTTGTATGTACCATTAAAAGCAAAGTTAGAATGATGCAGACTATGTTGGCCCAATTGTTTTTTGTTTTCTTCCTATTGTGTGATTTATATCCCTCCAAGCAGCAACTTCTATTTTTTGCCATATAATAGCAACTTCAAGCATTGAAACAGAATCTGCACAAGTGTGTTTGTAGTTTTTGCACTGTTTTTTTTTTTTGCCGATATAATGTCTTTTGTTTGAGCTGGTAGTAAAATTTTTGCCGAATCAGTATTTATAACTGTACATTCACTCCTCTGGTCTTATTCATAAGACACTTCCAGTTTATTTCACACAAATTAAGAAAAACTTCAAAATGAATGAACTCTTCATTAAAATATATTCCTCCAGTCCTTAATATAAGACCTATTTAACTAATTTGATCAGATTAAGAAAGTTAGGTAAGTTAGTTAATTATAAGAGATATGACATGTTTTTTTTAAAACACTATAATCATCTTCCTTAGTACCCTCTCTTCCTTTTCTACTTGATTATGGTTAAGGGAGTATCCATGGAGGTAATTTAGAAAAAATTGATAAATATGAGAACTAGATCTTATATTTAGGACCAAAATCAACTCAACAATTAGGTCCTATATTAAGGACCGGAGAAGTAATAACATTTCAACTTTACTCATATTCAAATAAATGATGAAATAGCACATTCAAGTTAAAAATTTAATAAAGTGACTTATAAATAAGACAAAAAAATAGCCTTCTTTCTCTCTTTATAAATAGGGCTAGAAGAGTATTTATTAGAGTCGTAAATGTCAAAAAATATTATTTTTCTTACTGGACTAATTTGTTAGTAAGGATAATATTTGTCCATTCATGTCCACTTCAGGATGAAATTAAGGTCACTCAAGAAGAGACCCACATGCCATATGTGTCTAACCAACATGAGGATGATGATCTAATAAGATTATTCCAAGTAATGGAGGAAGGTTCTGTTCATGAAGTTAATAGCGAGGTTACTAAAGCTCTTGTTGACCTGGAAGCCTCGTTGAAAATGGATCTGAATGATATAGCCGCCTCTGAAAAAAATAGACTTTGCCTTGAGAACACTCTTAACAGCTTGTCCTCTCTTTGTTCCAATGATGATCTTAAAGCTACAATACACTCTTTGCAACAAGAAATCCAAACTATTCTATCTTCCTTTAAGCAAGCCTCTGCTACCATTGACACAGCGACCAAGCTTGAACAAAAAGAGAATGTAATGATTGGACAGCGTTCGCAACGAAAAGAAGCAGCTATGACTCTTTTATCTGAAATTCACAGGACTCAGAATTCTAAGGTCGAGGCTCAAACAAGGGAAGTAGAGTTGAAGGAGCAAATCTCTAAGTTGCAGGCTGAATTGTATAGCAAAGAAAAAGAAATCAAAGAGTGCCAGACCAAACTGCTGTCTCTTCAAGAGCAAAAGAAGAAGAGTGTTTCTGACACTGTTGGATTCCTAAAGGAATTAGAAGCAGTAAAGAAAGAGAGGTCTCACACCGTGAAAGACCAAATAAAAGCAAAGCAACAACTAGAGAATGTGAATTGTAAGTGGTCTTTTTGTGTAGACAATTGGAAGAAAACCTCATTGCTGTTGGGATCTCATCTTAAACATAAGCTTTGATTGATGGAGATTGTCATTTAATTGTTTATTAAAAAAAACATGTAAAAATAGTTCTAGACTATATTCAAAGTTGGGTCGTACGTTATGTATGTATTTTGTGTTCTGTATTATACCTTTTCAGTTATTCTTATTTTGTATGTTTATGTTTAAAGAATCTCAATTGAACACAGATTTTTTCCTCTTGAGCTGTTTATTTTAATAAACAAGTTGCACTTTATACCTCTCTTTTTTCAGAAGTTACACCCAACTCCTATAATTTTCAGGTATTCTTATTTTCTCTCTCTGCCGAGGTAGCATGTACTGGTTCTGTTATCTAGTTGAAAATGTTCTACTATCACATCATCTCGAAGGGCAATCCTGTGCTCCATGTCTTCCACTCATGATATATTTGTGCATTCAATAAACTACAGTTTGGCAAGGCATCTTTCAAGATCGGCGGCATCATTACCGTCTTTCTCAGATCAGATTTCCTTTATATTCAGAGATCAAGGGGATGTTTAGGAGCTGGCTGCTAGCTAGATGCATAAGCAATGCCTCGTTTGAGTTGAACACAAACAATGATTTTATAATGTTCTCTCTGCCAAAGACGCTTGATAATAATAATTCCACGACAAAAGGCAAGAAGAAGAAAAAAAAACTTAAAATGTCTAGAAAAGAAAAGTTGAAGGAGCTCAGATTATATCGTTTAAAGGCTAAAATGAGATGAATTCCTCAAATCCTTACTTGACACAACTGCTGCTTAACATGCCCAGAATAAAGTATACACTTGTTGTTCCATAGGAAATGAACCTTAAAAGATTTTTGTTACAAATTGAACGTATCTTTTATGTGACAGAAGTATTTAAGAAGTTCTTGTTTTTTTTCAACTGAGACAGGCATGTTTTGATCATGCAGTTTCTCAGTTGCCTTATTGATTAGTTTGATAACAGAGCATACATTTAAAAATCTGCAATGTCACTGTTTCTCTAAATGCCTCAGATAGGCGGGAATTCGGCATTTTTCTTTGTCCCCTTATTTGATTTTTTTTCTGTTTTTTTTTAATCATTTGGTGTCTTTTTTTAAACTTGAAAATCTGCAGGCCAAGCGAAAGGAAGCTGCGGAAATTTGACTTAGCAAAATCCCCAGCAGAAACATATGATCCCGAAATTCTGACAGAGGAAGGGTCTTTTAGATGAGCCATCTTTTCCTGATGCGCTCACAACATCGTTTATGGAATGATTTGTGTCGTTTTACCTATCTAAATTAATATTCATTAGGATTATTCATTCCACTTGATTTATTAAGTTCTCATCATATTCTAGGCTTGGTGGTTTGATATGATTAGGTGGCAGTATGAAATAGTACAGAGTTAAATCTTATTCTTACACAGAAAGATATTCTTTTTTATCAGTGTACTATTTTTCCTTTTCTTCTTTTAAAAAAATTTTCATTGACATTAATTCCCAGGCCTTGAAGAGTACCATCAGCACCTTGAACGATTTAGAAAAGGGAGAGAAGGCACCTCAAGAATAAAGATGCTATGCGTGAGAATCATATTACGTGATTGACAACTTGTATAAATGATGCTTGTTTTGATAGCCAAGAAAAACTCTTAATGTATGGTTTTTTTCCCCCCTCGTTTCTGATTTCTGAAAGTTTCAGTCAAGATAATTTGTATTATATGATCAATCTGATGTCCTCAATCTGTTAAAAAACCTTCTAACAGTTTTTCTTATTATTTTACTTTTGTAGTGTCAATCTGTTGAAAAACCATATTATTGAAAACTGTAGTTCTATCTCTGGGAATCGAGGCAGGGTCGCTCTGTTTTTCCTGACCTAAAGGTCTCATATAAGAGCAATGGACAAAATGACATTGCCCGGCATTTTCATTTTTTGACGTCATTCTTGGCAATTTAACATTAGGTCGCCATTTTTGGTGATATATCAAGCTGTACAAATCTTTGACATAATAATGCTTAATGATGCCAGGGGAGCAAAAAAGAAAGTTGTTCTATATGAGCCAGTTGCAAGGTATGGGGCTTCAATTTTTTATTTTAGCTTTTGCCCCCTATTCATACCAAACAGACCAGATCATTAAATAGAACCTTTTTGAGAATGGAATTGAACAATTATAGCATACAGAATAAAATCAACCATGTTATTGCATTTTATATGGCCCCATTAAAGAACCCAAATATCCATTTTTGAAACTTGTACACCACAAGTTCACCAATTATTCTGTACTAGAAATGGTTTCTTGAAAGATAAAGTACGTCTTTAATCTACCATAGGCTAAGCATCCATCAAACCATGAATGAAGTAATACTAAACATGTCCTAAAACTATGTATAATACCTTACTCCAATGTTTTAAAAGTGAACCTTCCGTCAAAGTTAAAATCATATACTCCCTCTAATCCTTATTATAACTTACATCTAACTGCCTTTTCACGACTAAGAAGGATTCTTTTCAGTTTTACCTTAAGAGCATAAGAAATCACTATATTAGACTTCAAGTCTCCTTTCCTAATAAATTAGTAACTGCAATATTCACAAAATTATGAACAGTGCATTCATCTTGTGAATTTTATGCAAACACATGATGTCCAATTTATTGAATTAAAAAAGGGTGTAATTATGGGAAAGCAGAGTTAAATGCATCAAGTAATATATGAGGTAATATTTTTAAGAATAATATCTACTTCGATGTTTTAAAAGTCTAGACTCTAAACCACACATCAGATTCCATTGTACATATAAATGCATACATTCTAAAGTTGAAGAGTTCTTCTACATCGTCACAATTGGAAAGTCAGAGTTTGCCACTTCTCACATTCAATCATTACGATTTCTGCTTCTGCAAATCAGTTGGCACGCTCCATTTTCATCCTTTGATTTTTCAGCCCATTAAAACTTGCTTCTTCTTCTTCTTCTTTATTAGTTTTCAAAAAAAAAAAGGCCTTCTTTTGCAATGCTGATTTCCTTCTATTTTTTCTTTATTTATTCTCATCTCTATCGTTCTTCTATAGTTGTTCTTCACCTCAATCCCGGAAAAAAAAAAAGAAGCCTTCTGTTATTAAATATTCTACCCAAACATTTCAATTTTTGCTTGTGCTTAGCACTTTTCGTACTCTTTTTCTTTGTCTTTAAAATCATCCTATGATTTTTCCTCTCCATTATTCATTGTTGGTTTCGTTCTCCTTAAACCCCAAAAAAAAACCAAAAAAAGAAATCAACAAAAAAAAAACAAGGGAAAAAAAGGAGGCTTTGATATCATAGGCAATTGTTGCAGAAAGGCATAGAAGTCTCTGGTAGAGAGGTAATTTTAGTATTCGATAATACTTTTGCAATTTTGTTGGTGTGTTTATTTGCACTTCACCTTTTTGTTATATATTTTAATTAGTACATTAAAGTATTTAAATTAATAAGAATGTCTTTTCAGTTTATGGAACATAATTAGTATTTAAATTTAAGAGAGCATCGAAATCAAGTGTGTGTATGAATATATATAGATATAGTATTTATCTTATTTGCACTTTGATATTTTAAATGATTATATTAGTCCACTAGTAAAAACTAAAGTCATATCTTACATAATGTTCCTTATTTTCTTTTCCCTTCCCTCCTGTTTTCCATCTTGTATTCTTGGCAGCGCTTTATCTCTTCACGTCGCTCTCTCTGAATATAGTTTTTTTTTTAATACGACGAAAATTTATATGAGTGAGTGTATATGTTGTTAGATACAATTGTGTATAACTACCCTCTATAGGTAATTAATTAACAGTCATAAATTTTTACTTTTCATCAAACGACATATTTTCCAATTAAGGGTATGTTTGGGATCAAGTTTGGAGGTCCAAACTGACTTTCCAAATGGCAAAAAGAGCTTTTTGGATTTGAAATGCATTTGGAATACCGTTTTTGCAATCTGACTTTTAAGAGTAACCGGCCTTTTAAAGAGAAGCTCGCTTATTTTGCTTTTACCAGTGGGTCAGCATTAATGTTTCTCACCGACCCATCAAATATCCAATTTGGCTTTCTGCATGCATTTATTTCCCTCATTGTGGCTCGAAAAAAACGAGAAGAACAAAAATTATATATATATGATTTCTAATTTATATATATATTTATCCATTAAATATATTTAATTAAATATTTAGTATTTTTTTAATTTCCTTCTAAAAATAAATTAAATTTCTTTATTTTTAATATTTCTTTTAAAATGGTCACATTATATACCTATAATATTAGATATGTATTACTTAAAAAAATTCATGTCCTTTTAAGTTATTTTACATATAAACTTACTTTTATATTTATCATCCAAATAAGTTTCAGCTTCTTAAACTGACTTTTTACAAAACCCAATATAAATATAAATCATATTACACTATCTAACTTTCACTCAATCTGACTTCTGTAAAAGTCAAATTGAAAAAAAATTACTTTTGTCACCGCTATCCCAAACACACCCTAAAATAGGTTGAGTTATTCTTAGTTAAAAAATCAAAAGGCCTTTTTTTACCGTACAATTGCTATGCATTATTGCACTATACACGAGTATTTAACACTTAAAAAATATGTCTTGAAGGGTGTTTGGTAAAGTGTGGCTTGTCAATACTTTGTATTAAACAATATAATTTTTAGTACATCAATCATTTATCTAGTTTTTCTGGTAAAAAAAAATCATTTATTTAGTTTTAACTCTCTTGACTCTTGAGAGGTTTGGGAGGAAACGCATTGCCAACAAGGAAAATTAATCTTTTAGTTTTTTAACTTTCAACTCATTTATAACTCAGTCCCTCAACTATGACTCAATACAACTCAGTTCCTGAACTTTTGATTTGTCTATAATTCAGTCCTTTATCTTTTCATTTTTTATATTATTGTTCTTATAATTTACAGCTCATCATGGCTGATCCGATGTGGCAAGAATGGATAATAAAATAGCTCTCAGCTCAGCTCCACGTGATCAGAGAAGGGAGGAGTACCGGAGAAGACGGACCAACAGGGGAAAAAAGAAAGTTGCAGGAGAAGAAAAGAGAAGAAGAGGCGTCAAGAAGAATCAGAACTGTTGAAGATGAAAAGAAAAGGTGAGCAAGGTGAGCTAGACTGGGTTGTTGAAAAAAGGGAATAATCTGAAATGAGTTGAACTTGATCAACTTTGGGAGGCTTGCGAGTTGAAGATTCTTTAAATTTTGAAATGATTTCTCCTGCATCTTACATGACTCTAGTTTTAAGGCATTCAAAATAACAAGTTTTTCCGGTAAACACTCTATTTCTAGTTTAACTAGTTTACCAAGCTCCATAATCCCTCTTGGATCCTTGTTCCATACGCAAATCAAATTGGGTAAACGAAGTAAATGCACTATGTTCAAATCGGGGAATTTCATATTGGTTTGTGCTTCATTCAGCACCAAATTTTGTAAGACCAAAAACATGTTCCGGCAATTCGCAGCTTTTGAATATTAATCTCTTCAGCATATACGACCAGTGAAGCAAATGAGAGAAGAGAGGCATGGCCACATTCAGTCATTGCCCTCCTTTATTTCCTTTTCCTGAAGTTGTTTATCCCTGTAACCCACTTTGATGAATAATCTCGCTGCCATCCCTTTCCATTTTATCTTTGGGCCTAATTCATTTTCTATTACTCACCTCCAATCTCATACGCCTCCAACATTCAATCTCAGGAGTCTTATTCTTCTTTGTTGCTTGTGCTCTGTTCGACGCCTCCGTTTCTTTTTTTTGCAACTTTTTTTTCCCCTCTTGGTCGATCTTTTCCGGTACTCTTCCCCTCCTTGATTACATGGAGCTGATGTGGAAGTTAATATTTGCCACATAGGATGACTCATGATGAGTTGTAAATTATGAAGATAATAATATGAAAGTTAAAAAGATAAAGGACCGAGTCATATGCCAGTCAAAAATAAGCTTATTGCTTTTTTATATAATGACCTTTTTTTGTTAAATTTCATTTGTTTTTGCTTCCTTCCCTTTTCAGCCTCTTGCTGCGCAACCAAGTCTGTAGCAAATCAAATAAAACGTGATTCATTATCTAATTTTATTTTTAATTTATTCATCCTATTCTTAGTTTTAGATGAATTTAATATATATTTAGACTTATAATAAACTCAAAATTTAAATTTATTATTATAATAGGTGAATACCAAATAATATTTAATTTCACCTTCTAACAGAAAAGTGTTATTTTTTATTGGAAAAATTAGAGAGAAGGATCTAGCAAAAATAATATTTATTGGGAAAGATATTAAAAACTATAATTATTTTTAAGGACCAAACAATAAAATATAAATTTAAAAATACTAAATTACCCTTTACTAAATTCCTACATTTTCCCTTATCACACTTCCATTAAGTTTTTTTTTTTTTAATAATCTCCTTAATATTGACTAAATTTATTTATAATATTTTTCTCATCAATATTTGCAACAAAATTTATTAAAATCAAATCAAAATCATTTTTTAATAGCTCAAAACATCTCATATACCTAAACACAGAATGAAATGAAATTATTTGTTTAATT